CTAGTATGTCACTGCCAGATGTAAACTGTAAACTTGTTGAAATATCGGTAGGTACAATACCAATTTAGCAAATTTGACTCTGTGTAATACAATTCAGCTAAAGTGCCAACAATCTCATTGTGAGCTAAAATATCATACTAGCTAAAGACAGTTTGACAGAACATTGAAATTATAAATCCACAAGTGACTCTGCAGCTGGGGATGGGAACTGATTTTCAGGCACTTCTACCAGGCATGGTCAATACACCCACATAATCTATGCTAGATACCACAACAATTTGAGACTGGTCCCTAAAACACTTACCCATATACAAAACAGGTTGCATGAAGTCTAGTACGTCATTTACAGGATTTTTTTCTGCTCCCATAGACAATGCTGGAATAGTGTTAGCTTCAAATAGATTAACATTCATGACATCACCATCCTCCAAGGACCATGCAGACGCAATTGGACTAGACAGCTGGAAATTTAAAATAAGTTCTGAAGTCTCAGACCACTAATATACAGACTTATAAACAGCTATGGGAGATAAGAAAATGTAAACGAAGTCATGTGATAAACGCACAACCTCGCGAGAGACTGCGATGTGAGGTAAAGTTACGCAAAAGGTTCAGAAAGTATATAATTCAGTTGCAGGTCAAACTAAATAGCAGCGGAAATAAATCAGGTGGAAGTAAGTGATGAGCGTTCTCTTCACACAACGTTGCTATACACATGTACAAAATCAGAACGTTGAGTCAGTACTATTTCAAGATTGTTATATTCTTCAAAATAGACATGATAATAAGCTTTTTTTTTACATGAGAACATACAAATTTACTCTATCACTCATGTATTTATTCTTATGTAAGATCTCAATGATTAAGTCATTATGTGCTGAAAAATGAAAGTGTGATGGGTAATTTGCATATTATTAGCATAACATTATTGTGCATGTGATTAACATATAATTTGCATCCTGATTAGGTACTACAACTTTATCCAATTGAGTCAGATATTAGACATATAAGTGGAGGGGGGGGGGGGTCACTTGTATTATTTATATATGGGCTATGCAAGACACCAACATTTGGTAAAAATCAAAGGCCCGGGAGGCCAGATTCAATGGAGACCCACTATTTAAAGTGGTTTAAACATAGCTTTAATTCCTGAACTTTTAAAAAAATGGACCCTTTGGGTACTTCTCATACCAGTTTCATTCATTATTATAGTCATAAATCACCCGTTTCTATTTTAACATGTGTTTGAGCTGCATTACACAAGACATAGAGTTAGCAACTTCAAATACTTATAGCCTTTTTTACCTTGTGTTTCCATAGTACTTTCTGAGCATTTTGTCGGCTAACTGCAGCAATAGAACCATCCGAGACAGCAAATTTTAAATCAGGATTAAGCCGATAATCCTCATCATCACTGAAAAAGTAATCTTCCTCATCATCTATCAGACATTCGCTTTCATCTTCGCAATACACAAAGTCGTCATTTCTGTTCTTGTTGCTCTGGCGACTTTTCAGGAATGTGATATCATGTTGACCGACACTGAAATTCCACCTGAGATTGACAATAAAATAATTATTGTTGGAAAAGTATTGGCTATAAAAATTTCTATTTTCTGTCTCCACTTAAGTAATTTGAAATTCAACTGACAAGGCCAAAGGTCATACAAAAAGTGAGAAGTCATTAAAAATGGCTGCCAGAAAAGAATTTAAAACAATGGGGAAATATATTTGTCATCCTCTTTATTCAGCACTTTGACATTTTATGCAAGTTTTTGCAAATTTGTGTCTCTGTTTTTTGCTCATAACTAAATTAGCACAAAACAGAATCAAAGAAACCTTTCATGTGCTCGAAGTATTGAAGACATAAATTAATTTAAGATTAGCCTTTCAAACAAGAAGCTTGGCAACTAATATTTGTCTGCTATTTGAGATGCACAAGATAAAAACAATGTGATCCACAATAAAAATACTAAAAAAATACTAAAATAAACTTTATTTTACATCTGTGGTTAGCAGTCTGATTTATTCCAGAGCCAGAGATCTTCTAGCTCAATCTAAATCTGATTTTCTGAGATATAAGAAATTAGCTAATAAAGATTAGGTAATCAACATGCATGGTTTTCAACTAATCTTGTCTGTGGATGCACTGATTATGCATAATATGCAAATTAGGTAATTAGTATGTATGAATTTCAACCCCAAACTAATCAGGACTGTGCATTGTCTCAGGTTTTCTTAGAATGTTTTTGAGATGGGAATTAGGTAATTAATATAATACGCACATATTTTAATGTCTACACATTGTGCCAGAGCAACAATGTGCCAAGTTTCAGTGTTAATTCATTTCTCCAGTGATTTGTAGCTTAGTGTCTATGACTGTAGTAAAGAACTTTAGGCCAGACTTTTTTTATTCCTTGTTTCTCGAGTTTTTACGAGGCAAATTTTTTTAGGAGAACAGAAAAAAAATAAAATTAATTCTTTTTTTTCAATTAGATTTGTTTGATTCTCGAAGAATTGTAAGTGAGATCATTGATCGAAGAGAAGAAATAAAATAAAATATTAATCCCGGTATAATCTTGTTTCTCATCTGCGCGAGACTTCGGTACTTTGATCATGATACTCCCACGAAAATGCAACTTGGATTTGTTATGCGGCGGGCAGAAAAAAAAGAAGATAAAAATAATTTTTTTTTAGTAATTTTTTGCACTTACAATTTCGCAGGCACGAGAAATTACGCTGAAATAAAATTTTATTTTTATTTCATTTTCAGCTCCTGATCATTCGCCGGGTTCGCGAAACAAGGGATAATAAAAGTCTGGCCTTAATATACATGTGTACTCACTTCTCACCACCTGTTCTTTGTTCAACAGATCGCACTGTTTGTTGTTCTCGTTTTATTAATATGATGTCATCTTCATCTTCTTCTTTAGACTCACCAAACTGTTCACAACCATCGGCAGAACAAATGTAGAGTAACTAAGAATATAATAAATTAGCATCGAAGAACCGTTATTCTGAGTCACATCAACTGTACGCTGCATGCCGGTGCTGCCAATAACATCAATGTGCATGAAAATGTGAGACCCCCCTCCCTCCCTCCTTCCCCATAGATACCATATCTCTTTTTGCTTTATGCAAGGGGAACACAGAAAATGTCAGCAATAATGAAATTACAACATTTTGAAGAAGTTATTTTAAACATATTGTTTTTTTTAAAAAGTGTCCTTGTAAATACATAAATAACTCCTGCTGTTTATTTGCTGGTGGGGTAAACATAATGAAAAGATATTAATTCATCACAAAGTATTGCATGTACCGGTAACTTATCACTAACCGACAAAACAACATCACATTCAATTATCTAAATTGATTTTTTATTTATAGCAATAGTAATTTCAAGCTATAAATACGTTTATTTGAAAGTAATAAAACACTGTACATTTTACATAATGTGAGACTGAGTTTATCAACAAATGATGTCATAACACATATCTATGCTGCCATTTATTTTTTATTCATAGATACTGTCTTGCTTACCCAGTATGTGATGGAGGG